GCTTTAAGGTTTTATGTTAGCCTCCAAAAGCATTACTAAATGATGTCAGTAAAGTCAAGTCTTTGGCATTTGAAACAAGGCAAGCAGAACACTTCCATTCGCAGCATGGGAATAACATTTTGAAATGGCCAGTTATCTAGGCATTTAGTTGAAGTGAATGACATCAAATGTGTCTTTGGACTTGTGGTCTTAATTCGTAGCTGCACACGTTTCTTTTTTCAACTCTGACAACAGAAGTCAGTATTTTCTACAAGCTTTTAAAAATACCTTGGAGAAAGAAAAGAAGGTCCTCTTTAAAAGTACAAAAATCTTATTAAAATACTTAGTTATTTAACCATATAAGTTAAGCTAAATAACTATTTGTCCTTATGTGTATATAATTACCAGAAAATGGCCATAATCTAATGGTCTAGTACAGTGGTCTCATAATTTTATTTAATGCTTGTAATAAAAGTACAGTACAATTCTTGCAACAGAGGGTCAAGGCATTTATACTGGCAATTAAGCTAGCACTTGCCAAATTTGTAATGATCTTAACCACGTGTGCCCAAACCTGGCAACTGTCCGAAGCACATGATTTGATGCTTGGCTTAAGCTATATCCCTCAGTTCCCAATTCTCAACTGATGCTGGAAAAACTGAGGAAAGGACTGCAAACACAGAAGGAAGTCAAGGAAAAAGAAAGGGATGAAAATGCATGTCTGCAAATGTAAACAAAAGAAACAAGAGAAACAGTTGCGTGGTAGGATTTCCATTAGATATTTAGTTTGTTTAATAAATTCATTGAACTGCTATAAACCAAACGGGCAATTGTGAACTACTTCCAGTCTGTAAGGGGAATTCATGACAACTACAACCTCTTACAACTTTTAGACACACGGGATGCACTCCTTGGAAGATGAGCATATTCACAGATCGTGGTGTACAACCCTAGTTATCTTCAATGGTGTTTGCCAAGTATTCGCAAGACACTCAAGGTATTCTGCAAGTCGAGCACTGTTCTGCTGTAGCTATGTGA